ACCCTCCCCTGTTCATGCTCTGTCTCTCCCTGTCTCAAAAATAAATAAAACGTTAAAAAAAACTAAAAAAAACACATTTCTGTAGATGCCCTTTCGGTGCATTGAACCTATAGCTCAATTTGAAGAGAATTCATATGCTGACAACTTTGGCCCTTGCACACAGCAATACCTACCCATTTATTTTCGTCCTTTTTAATTTCTCTTAATCATTTAGAAATCTCATACATCAATCGTTCAGTTCCTTTCTCGTCCTTGATTATCTACCCTGAATGGGATCTTTGAAGATTTTAATTACCTAAAAGTTCATTGTTAGCTCTACCAGCCATCAGTTTACTCCTACTCAGCTCAAAGCTACCCTTCTTTGCCCTGTTTTATGACACTGGAACTGAACCCTGTAAATAATTCTCTTTGGGCGCCTGGTATAATGTCAGTAGAGAGTACAGGAAGGATACTCTAAGACACAGCAGAAGAATCACTTCTGGCATGCTTTCCTTCTTGCTTTTCCAGTAGAGCATGGTTACCAGAGTGTGGGAAATGCATTGGCACTCACTCTCCAGTCAATTTCACTGACACCTCAGTGAATGGCTTCCTTGCCAGGAGTGTGTGGGAGGCACAGCGATACAGCCCAAAAAGGGTTTTGTTGGCACTCCCGTGGGTGGCTCCATCCACTTCAGTCCGGGCTCAACAGCTACCAACCAGCTCTGACATGAGACACTTCAGTGAACTTCCACCGCATCTAGTGGGCCACAGTCATTCCCTCTCCAATTAGGTCTGAATATTAGCCTTGCTTGAGAGCAGGGGACTCTTCCAAGTCTGTTCCTTCCTTGGGTTCACTTTCTTAGCCTTAGAGATAGTAGCTGCACCCTACAATTTCTATTCCTGTATGCTTTAGCATTCTCTTTCAGCCATTTTAGTAAATAGCCTTTTGCTAGTTAATAATTCTTTACATTAAATTTCCCAGTTCAAATTATTGCCGTGGTTTCTATCTCCTGAATAGACTCTGACTGATAACCTGATATATGAAAACACAATAAATTTCTCTGCGTTGACTTTGTGTTCTACAACTTGTTCAATTCAATTATTAATTATAATAGTTTTTCTGTGTATTTGGGTTTTTGATATACTCAATCATGTTGTCTATACGTAGTAACATTGTATTTCTTCCTTTGTAATTCTTATCATCTTATTTAACTTGCCTTATTGTAGTAGCTAGCATCCCTAGCACAATGTTGAACAATTTTGAGAATAGACATCTCTATTAGTCTCCTATTGCTGCTGTAACACATTACCACAGACTTAGTGGCTTTAAAGAACACAAATTTATTCTCTTATAGTTCTGGGGGCTAGGAGTCCAAAATCACTTTTGCTGGTACAAGCGAAAGTGTCAGTGGGGGTGGTGCCTTTGAGAAACTCTGATGGGAGGATCTGTTTTTTACCCCTTTTCAGCTTCTAAAGGCTGCCTATATTCCTTGGCTTGGAGGAGTTTTCAAGGAGTATCATTTCAATATCTTCTTCCATTATCACATCACCTTCTCCTCGGACTCTGACTCCTACATCCCTCTTATAAGGACCATTGTGATTATATCAATTCCACTTAGATAATGCATGATAGTCTCCCTAGGTCAAGATCATTATTTTTTTTAAGATTTTATTTGTAAGAATTTCTATACCCAACATGGGACTCGAACCCACAACTCTGAGATCAACAGTTGTGTGTTCCACTGACTGAGCCAGCCACATGCCCCTCAAGATCAGTATTTTAATCACATCTGCAAAATTCCTTTTGGGATCTAAGGTAACACTGAGAGATTCTGGGGATTAGGATGCAGACACATTGGGGATGGGGAATTATTCAGTATCTTTCTCTTATTCCCAATCTTAGAAGAAAAGGTTTCAACATTACCCCATCAATTATGCTGTTTTCTATAGGCTATGATAGATATCCTTTATAAGATTAAGGAAATTTGCTTCATTTTTAGTTTTCTAAAACCATGAAACCAAGGTAAAATACATCCAATAAATTTTTCTTATTTTGAGAGAATTAAGACTTCTTTAATTTGGTTAAATTGGTGAATTACACTGATTGATTTTTCATTTATCAAATCAACCCAGAATTCCTAGTGTTTCTAGAATAAACCAACTTGTTCGTTTTACATTAACCTTTTTCCAGTATTTCATTTGGGACTTTTTTCATCTAAATTTATGTCTGAGATTAGCCTTTAATTTTCCTTTTCCATAATGTTTTTACTAGGTTTTGGTATCAAGGTTATGCTGACCTCCTAAAATAATCTTGGAAGTGTTCCTTATGTTTTTATTCTCTGGAAGAGTTTGTGTAAGACTGATTTTATTCTTTTTTTTTTTTTTTTTTTTTTTTTAAGTAGGCTTCATGCCCAGCACGGAGCCCAATGCAGGGCTTGAACTCTACAACCCTGAGATTAAGAGTCAGATGCTTAACTAACTGAGTCACTCAGGTGCCTCTAGACTGGTTTTATTCTTTAAAAAAATTTTTTTGTAATGTTTATTTGTTTTTGAGAGAGACAGAGTTTGAGCGGGGGAGGGACAGAGAGAGGGAGACACAGAATCTGAAACAGGCTCCAGGCTCTGAGCTGTCAGCACAGAGCCTGACGTTGGGTTCAAACCCACAGACCATGAGATCATGACCTGAGGCAAAGTCGGATGCTTAACCAGCTGAGCCACCCAGATGACCCTAGACTGGTTTCATTCTTAAATGTATATTTTAATGGCTAATGAAGCTATCTGAACCCAGGGCCTTCCTTGTGGAAAGTTTCAAAATTTCAGATCCAGTTTCTTCAACAGTTATAGAATTGTTCAGGCTTTCTATTTCTTTTTGTGTCAGTTTTGGTAAGTGTGTGTGTGTGTGTGTGTGTGTGTGTGTGTGTGTGTACATATATATTTTAGGAATTTGTCCATTTAATCTAAAGTATCAATTCACTAGCATAAGAGTTTTTATAATACACCTTATGAGCTTTTTAATATCTGTAAAGTCTGTATATACTAAAATTTCCCCTTTCAGTTCTGGCATTGGTTATTTATGCTTTCTCTATCTCCTTACCAGGGTTTTATCAAATTTTCCAGTTTCTTCAAATAACCTTTTTGTTTTTACTTTGTTGATCATAGTTTCATCTTTCAAAATATATGCATTTTCAATTCTTCTCTAACTTGCATCTTATATGTTGCATTTTCCTTATCATTGAGTTGCAGATTTCTAATTTCCACTGTGATTTCTCCTTTGACCCAAGGGTTATTTAGAAGTGTATTTCTCATTTCCAAGCCCAAGGGGGATTTTCTGGCTACCTTCTGTCATTGAGTTATAGCTCAATTCACTATGACAGAAAATTTATTCCGTATGTTTCCAATACAAAATTTGTTGATATTTGCTTTATGTTCCAGGATATAGTCAGGATATGTTCCATGTGTGCTTGACAAGAGTGTGTATTCTGCATTGTTGAGCAGGGTTCTATGTATGTCTTTTAGGGAAACTCTGCTAATCTTTTTGTCAGTTAATTCTTTCAGTTAAAGGAGTATTATAATCATCCACTATGATGGTAGATTTTTCTACTTGTCCTGTCCATTTTTGTTTTACATATTTTTGAGGCTATATTAGTGGGTACATATGCATTTATAATGGATTCAATTGGCAAACAGAATACTTTATCATTATAAAGTGTCCCTTGTTATTTCTAGTAATGTAGACTTCCTTGAAGTCTACTTTGTCTAATATTAATAGAGCTGTTTCAACCTCGGGTTTGTTAGTGTTTTCGTGTTATATCTTTTTCTAAATTTCATTTTCAATGTTTTGTATATATTATTCCACTGTCTACTGGCTTCTATTGTGACTGTTGAGAAGCCTGATATCAGTCAAATTGTTTTCCCTTTGTAGCAATGTGTATTTCTCTCTGCTTGCTTTTAGGATATTTTTCTTTGCTGTTGGTACTCTGTGGTTTCTCCACAAGGGTATATAGGTGTGGATTTAATTTTTTTTATCCTATTTGAGAAACACTGTATCTCTCTACCTGTGAATTTGAGTTGCTCATCAATTCTGGAAAAGTCTAGGCCATTATCATGTCAAATACATCCTCTCTTACATTGTTTCCTCCTGGGACCCTGAGTAGATGTATGTTAAACTTTATTTTACTGTCCATTAGTCTTAACCTTTCTAATTCTGTCTTAAGTAGTGTCTAATCTTCCGTTTAACCCATCCAATATGGTTTTCTTAAACAAGTATATTTTTACATCTATTTGGCTCTTCTTCAAGTCATTCTTAAAATGCATGTCAGTGATCCACCTTTTATTTCTTTAAACATTTCTTAGTTATTTTTATTTGTATTTGATAATTCCAATATCTGCTATCTTTAGAGAATGACATCTGTCATTGTTTCTGTTGACGCTTACTCACGGTAGCTTGTCTCCTTTGTTTCATGATCTTTGGTTATGAACTCATGGTTGATCTTAATCTCTGCATATGTTAGTGGCCAAAATTAGGGATGCATCCCTTGAACATGGATTTGCATTTGCTTGCCAAGAGTCAAGGGGCACTACAAAAATAGCCTACTTTAGCCACTTTCAGGGTCCAGGCTTAATGTGGAAGTCTCAGATTCAGCTTATCCATCTTTCTGTTATCCTTTGGTCTAGTCTCAGGATTGAGCACAACACCAAAATTAGTATTTGCCCTCAGGACAATCGAGCATTTTGTGCTTGTTTGCTGCTCCAAGCTGGTTTCAAAGAACGTTTCATGAGAGAAAAATGTTTGCTAGATATTTATTTTACTGTGAGGCTGGTAGATGCATTAAAATTCTGTATCCTCTAGAATCTCGCTGTTTCTTAACAGGAGGGCCTTCCAGAGTGTCTAGTCTGAGCCACTACCAGAATAGAAGGGTTGCTGTTGTTTTAAGTTGAAAGAAACGTACTGCAAAGGAGGGATATGGCTTTTTTCAAGCACATAACGGATTATGTTTTATTTTTATCTCTATCTTTCCTTGCTAGTAAAAATAGAGAACTGAAATCTTCAGGAAGCGAAAAAAATGAAAACTGATTTGTACGTAAGCTGGTATGTTAAGAAACGGTAAGCATTACATAATTTTATTACCTGATTTACTGCGGTCTTGAAGTTGGAAAGCATGAATGAGGTCAGTTTTTCGTGCAATTATTCTCTCTCTTAATATCCTGATGGCACTACTTTCAATAGCGTTCACCCTATGTTAACAAAACAATTATTAGGCAAAAGATACAGACAGATCCTGTTCTGTCTTGTTTTCATGTGCTATGTTACCACTTACCAGTTTCTACTTCAAATGAATTGCCTAATTTCACACATGCCATGTTCCTAGGTGGTCAGTGTTGGTATATGTATGCCTGTGTGTGCATGTATTGTGAAATTTTAAAAGGACTACCACTGGTGTTTTCTTTTTGAATTCAAAGATTTACATGAGCAATTAATGTCTGAGCATATCCAAGATACTTTTGAAAAACAAGAAAATTAAGAGGGACTTGCTAGAGCAGACTTTAATATTTCCTGTGAAGTTTCTGAAACCTAACCGCAGGTATTGACACAGGAGAAGACAGATAGATGAGCAGAACATAATAGAAATTGCATAAACATAGTCAACTATATATGGGAACAATGTGTATGACAAAGGAGGTATTACAATTCAGTAGAGAAGAGCAATTTTTTTTTTTAACATGGTGCTAGCTAGCATAGTTATCCGTCTGGATGCTAAACCACCTCAGACCATTTACAAAAATAAATTCTAAATAAAGGAGGAACAGACGAACAAAGTAGCTGTGAGTCATATACCCCTCTCCCCAAAAAAGCAAAATGGCAGAGGTAAATCAAACCATATCAACAATAGCATCATATGTGAATAGATTTTTAGACATCAAAAAGCAGAGGCTATGAGACCGGATTTTTTTTTTAAAGACCCAACTATGTTTTCTACAGGAGATACACTTCAGTTTCAAAGATACAAAAGAGCTTGAGAGAACAACAACAAAAAAGATGTATTATGCAAACATCAACCATAAGACAGTTAGAATGGCTATACTAACAGAAGACAGAATAGACTTGAAGACAAAATCTGTTACTAGAGACACAGAGGAATATTTTATAATGATAAAAGAGTCAATCAGTCAGGAAGATAAAACAATTACAAACATCTATAAACCTAACAAGGGAGCCCAAACCTATATGAAGCAAAACCAGACAGAACTGAAGGGAGAAACAGACAATTTAATAATAACAGTTGGAGACTTCAATATTCTACTTTCAATAATAGATAGAACAATGAGGCAGAAAATAAAAAAGGATATAAAAGACTTGAACAGAGGGGCACATGGCTGGCTCAGTTGGCTAAGTATCCGACTCTTGATTTCAGCTCAGGTCATGAGCTCACAGTTTGTGGGATCCAGCCCCATGTGAGGCTCTGTGCTAACAGCATGGAGCCTGCTTGGGATTTTCTCTCTCTCTCTCTGCCCCTCCCCTGCTTACTCTCTCTCTCTCTCTCTCAAAATAAATAAATAAACTTCAAAAAATTAAAAAAAAATTTAAAGACTTGAACAGCACTATAAACCAACTAAATTTAACAGATATGTATAAAACACTGCACCCAACAACAGCAGAGTATACATTTTTCTAAAGCATATATGGAACATTCTCCATGATAGATCCTCTGCCAGGCCATAATATGTCTCAATACATTTAACATGATCAAAATCAGACAAAGTAGCTTTTCTGACTACAAAAGGAATAAATTAGAGATCAATAACAGAAAGAAATTTGGAGGAATCACAAATATGAGGAAACTAAACAACACCATCCTAAACAACCAATATGTCAAAGAAGAAATCACAAGAGAAATTAGGAAATACTTTAAGATAACAGAAGATTAAAACACAACATGACAATGTTGTGACAATGTGAGACACAACTAAACCAGGGCTTAGAGGAAAATTTGTAGCTATAAATGCTGATATTAAAAAAAAAAAAAGATCTCAAATCAATAACCTAATCTCTACCTTCAAAAACTAGAAAAAAGAAGAGTAAAAGTAAACCCAAAGCAAGCAGAAGGACGGAAGGAATGAAGAGGAGAGGAAAACTACAGGCATCCGTGTTTTCCTGTGCTTCACTTTATTGCATTTCACAGGTATTTTTTACATGTGGAAGGTGTGTGGCAGCCCTGTATCGACCAAGTCCATTAGTGACATTTTTCAAATAACATTCACTCACTTCGTGTCTCTGTGTCACAGTTTTCAAACTTTCAATATTTCAATTTTTTCAAATATTTCAAACTTTCTCATTATTATTGTATTTGTTATGGTGATCTGTGATCAGTGATCTTTGATGTTAGTATTGTAATTTTGCCTTGGGGGGGGCACAAACCATGCCCATATAAGACTTAATTGATAAATATAGTGTGCGTTCTGACTTCTCCACTGACCAGCCATTCTCACATCTCTCTCCCTCTCCTTGACCTTCCCTATTCCCTGAGACACACTGAAATTAGGCCAGTTGAGAACCCTACAATGCCAAGTGTGCAAGTGAAAGGAAGAGTCATGTCTCTCACTTTATTTCTAAAAGTTTATTTATCTCTTGTTTTTTTAGTAATCTCCACACCCATGTGGGGCTCAAACTCACAATCCTGAGATCAAGAGTCGCATGCTCTTACAACCGAGTCAGCCAGGCACCCCTCTCACATTAAACCAAAATCTAGAAATGATTAAGCTTAGTGAGGAAGTCATGGTGAAAGCCAAGACAGGTTGAAAACTAAGCCTTTTGTGCCAAACAGTAAGCCAAGAGGTGAATGCAAAGAAAAAATTTTTGAAAAGAAATTAAAAGTGCTACTCCAATAAACACAAAAGATAAGAAAGTGAAGCATTCTTATTGCTGATATGGAGAAAGTCTGAGTGGTCTGGATAGAAGATCAAACCAGCCAAGGTGCACCTGGGTGCCTCAGTCAGTTAAGTGTCTGACTCTTTTAAATTAAAAAAAAAATTTTTTAACGTCTATTCATCTTTGAGAGACAGAGAGAGACAGAGCATGAGCGGGGAAGGGGCAGAGAGAGGGAGACACAGAATCAGAAGCAGGCTCCAGTCTCTGAGCTGTCAGCACAGAGCCCAACGTAGGGCTCGAACTCACGAACTGCAAGATCATGACCTGAGCCGAAGTCGGACACTCAACCGACTGAGCCACCCAGGCGCCCCTAAAAAAATTTTTTTTAAGTTTACATATTTATTTAGAGAGAGACAGAGATAGCGTGAATGGGCGAGGAGCAGAGAGAGGAGTAGAGAGAGAGGGAGAAGAGAGAGAATCCCAAGCAGGCTCTACATGGTCAGCACAGAGCCTGAAACAGGGCTTGAAGTCATGAAACCATGAGATCATGACCTGAGCTGAAACCAAGAGTCAGATGCTTAACTGACTGAGCCACCCAGGCACCCCAAGTGTCCAACTCTTGATCTCAGCTCAGGTCTTGATCTCAGGGTTGTGAGTTCAAACCCTGCATTGGGCTCCACACTGGACATGAAGCCTACTTAAAACAAAAACAAAACAAAACAAAACAAAAAGATGAAACCAGCCATAATATTGTTTTAGTCCAAAGCCTAATCCAGAGCAAAGCCCTAAACCTCTTCAATTCTATGAAGGCTGAGAAAGCTAAAGGAAGCTGTGGAAGAAAAGTTTGAAGCTAGCAGAGGTTGGCTCATGAGGTTTAAGGAAAGAATCTATCTCTATAACATCAAAGGACAAGGTGAAGCAGCAAGTGCTGATGTAGAAGCTATAGCAAGTTACCCAGAAAATCTAGCTAAAATAATCAACGAAGGTGGCTACACTAAACAACAGGTTCTCAATGCAGATGAAACAGCATTCTACTGGAATATGATGCCATCTAGGACTTCCATAGCTGGAGAGGAGAAGTCAATACCTGGCTTGAAAGCTTCTAAAGCCAGGCTGACTCTCTTGGAAGGGGCTAATGCAGCTAGAGACTAAGTTGAAGGCAATGTTTATTTACCATTCTGAAAATCCTAGGGCCCATAAGAATGATGCTTAATCCACTCTGCCTGTGCTCTACAAATGGAACAACAAAGCCTGGATGACAGCACACACCTGTTTAAAACATGGTTTACGGGGCGCCTGGGTGGCGCAGTCGGTTAAGCGTCCGACTTCAGCCAGGTCACGATCTTGCGGTCCGTGAGTTCGAGCCCCGCGTCGGGCTCTGGGCTGATGGCTCAGAGCCTGGAGCCTGTTTCCGATTCTGTGTCTCCCTCTCTCTCTGCCCCTTCCCCATTCATGCTCTGTCTCTCTTTGTCCCAAAAATAAATAAAAAAAAGTTGAAAAAAAAAATTTAAAAAAAAAAAAGAAAAAAAAATAAAAAAATAAAACATGGTTTACTGAATATATTAAGCCCATCGTTGAGAACTACTGCTCAGAAAAAAGGATTACTTTCAAAATACGACCGCTCAGTGACAATGTACCTGGTCACCCAAGAGCTCTGATGGAGATGTACAATGAGATTAATGCTGTTTTTGTGGCTGCTAACACAACATTCATTCTGCACTCGATGGATCAAGGAGAAATTTAGACTTTCAAGTCTTATTATTTAAGAAACACATTTTATAAGGATATAGCTGCCATAGATAGTGATTCCTCTGACTGATCTGGGAAAAGTAAATTGAAAACCTGAAAAGGATTTGCCATTTTGGATGCCAGTAAGAACACTCATGATGCATGGGAAGAGGTCAAATAGCAACATTAACAGGAATCTGGAAGAAGTTGATTCCAAACCTTATGGATGACTTTGAGGGGTTCAAGACTTCAGTGAAGGAAGTAATTGCAGATGTGGCAGAAATAGCAGGAGAACTAGAATTACAAATGGAGACTGAAGATGTGACTGAACTGGTACAATCTCATGATGGCGAGAAACTCCAATTTTGAAAGAAGTTACTATGGATAAAATGCTGTCAAACAGCATCACATGCTACAGAGAAACCTTTCATAAAAGGAAGAGCCAATCAATTCAGCAAATTGCATTGTTGTCTTATTTTAAGAAATTCCCACAGCCACCCCAATCTTCAGCAACCACTACTCTGATCAGTCAGCAGCCATCAACATTGAGGCAAGACCCTCCACCAGCAAAAACATCACAACTTGCTGGAAGCTCAAAAGATGGCTAGCAATTTTTTTAGCGGTAGCGTATTTTTAAGGT